GATGAAAGATGGTAAAAGGAAATCTGATTACTTACCACCTGCTTGAAAGTAGCACATGTGCTTACATAGAATGGTTAGTTAATGAACTAATGCGACTGCTAATAAGAATTGAATATAAGGACGCACGCTTAGTAATGCTTCCTGCAAATGCAATAAACCCACAAGCCAGATAGCCTTGTATATCCTTGGAGTCTTTTTCTTTCCTCCTATCGGGTAAGTCTTGTTGAATACAATTGAGTACTCAGGGTTTTATTTTTCCCTGTTGTAGGTGACAGGTGGATGCTAGAGCTGACCCTTGTGTGTGGATTCCTCCTGGTGGGCTCAGAGATGATTCCTTTACGCTGCGATCATAGTTTTTACTTATAACTCTCACCAAATGTTTTATTAAATGGAAGTTTTATAATCTGTTGTCGTAGTTTATATATCAAGATTTCATCACGTCATAAATAGATATTTAATTTCGCTGTAACTCTGTTCACATGTTTATATTCCGCTGTTCAATTAAATTGTTCATAACTCTAATAATATGATTACATTCTGCTGTTATAATAAATATTATACTCTGATATTGTATTAAAAGTGATGTAAGAAATGGTTAAGAATGATGTAAGCTTTATTCTCTCATTTGTGATCCTGATGAAAAATGTGGATTTTTGGGTTCTCCCCTAGGGTGTGCCCGACGGAACCGCGTGATTTGGTGTCCTCCCTTAAGTGCTTAGTGTCTAATGGAAGACGAGTACTCTTGGGAGGTATTAGATTAGACGGTTCTGCCACAGGTGGTATCAGAGCATAAATGAAAAAATAAAGCTTCGAAAACCTTTTCTAAAATAAAATTTGATAACAAATTCTTTTCAAAGAATAGGATGTCTTTATGCGAAGTTATATAAGTAGCCCTATTACTATGGTTATGTATCCAGGATAGATGGCACTCTGCTAATTTAGGTAGGCTTACTCAAGTTTTCTGCAGGTACACTGACCCCGAGCATAGTCCGATAGTATCGACTAGTTACAGGGAGAGAACGATGTGCTAACAATCTGAGAACGGTTGCCCTATATGTTGGCAACAGTGGAAGGACGTATAGGACATGCATTCATGCATATCCTGTTTATGCATTGTAGTGCCCGTATTGCTTGCAGATACACCATCCATAGGTCACGCGTGTCGTATTGTGCACGACTAACTCGTCCTGTTATGGAGTTATTTCCGCACTGTGACTTGTGCTCCGCATTCGCCCGTGGTTCACGCAGGTCGTGACCCATGTCTCCCCGTACTCTTTTCTACGCTCTTGTCGAACCCTTGCCCTACAAACATACTAGTCATTAATGGCCACGGACATCGCTCTCCTCGAACACGCGGAATTTTGGTCGAGTCATTCGTAGCTGAGCACTTGCAACATAACTAAGCCACTTCTCTATCATGGCTTTAAGTGCTGCTCATACTAGTGTACCTGTGGACTAGTCACCCGTGTATCTCACATCAAACACATATTAGTCCACCTAAATTGTCACTCAATTACCAAAACCAAATTATGGCCTTTCACCGGTAGCCTTTGTCTTGAGGCTTGTCAACATGATTCCTTGTCATCTCCACCATGACCTTCATGCCGGTCAAAGCCTCCATGTGGACCAACCTTTTGCCTTTCATTTCTCATGTGAAATGTTAGTCCACAGATGTTATTAATTACCAAAACGCAAACAGGCGCCTAGATGCTTTCACCATCCCACCTAGCTGTTTAGACTTGGAGATGGAGCTACACGAAAACGGGGTTCGAGCTACGTTGGTGTACCCTCGGTCGGCTGCCTATGCCTGCTTCGCTGAAGTTCTGTGATGTAATTTTCTTTTAGATCCCTGGGTCCTTTTTAAATAAAGTTATCGCTTTTGTAATAAACACCACAATGTATCACTGTTGATGTCGTCACATGTATGAATAAGTTGATCCTGGCATACATGTGATTTGCATTCAGTTTTGCCTTTAAAACCGGGTGTCAGAGAATGGCTAGGGTTGGGGCCATCACATGACTCTGATTTTGGTCCACCGGTCTGCTAGGTACTCCCTCCGTTTCAAATTATAAGTCATTTGTCTTTTCTAGGTACATAGCTTTTGCTATGCAGTTATACATAACGTATGTCTAGATGCATAATAAAAGCTATGAATCTAGAAACGACAGAACAACTTATAATTTGGAATAGAAGGAGTACTACTTTCTGATGCTAAATTGATCTGGTCTAGCCTATTTAGCACGCTAATCACCGCTACTAGCATTTAAAAGGCAACTCTCCTAGCTTCAGCCTTGCCAAGCTGCTAAATCTGGCTATTGGGGAAGCTATATCCGGCTATTTAAAATATTGGTTTGCAAACAGAAATTTAGATATTTTACGCTTTCAAGACAACTTACAAAAGAACTGCAGGTTGTAAGGCCAAGTTCTGTAGGGGGAGGGCAATCATTCTTCTAGTAGGAATAAAGGAATGAAAAACGTACAAATAGAACAAAACAGAGGAATATTAAATGAATGGAGGGGTTAAACAGAGGATTGAAAAATACAGTAATTTTATAGAAATAGGTGTTCTGAACGCAGAAAATATGACTAGCGTAAGAATTTGAGAGTTAGTCGCAAACTCAATGGTTTAAATTAAATTTAACAGTGAATATTTCTTTTCCTTTTATAAAGCTGGTACATAAAAGCATGGAAGAGGTCCCTGTATGGCCATATGCTAGCATCTTCTTATCCGGTGGCTTTCTCAAAGCGACGCATCATCATAGGTGGAGTTTCATGAATCGACTTGTACTGCTGGAGCAAGCCGATTCATCCTGGAGAGAGAAAGAATCAGTGCAAGTTTGGATGTCTATTAGTATGTTTGGTTTGTTGGTGAGGAAAGCCTGGCTCGCACCTGGGAACCGGGTTTTGCTGGACATGCTATAGAGATGCAAGCTGTTCTTGTATGCTGGTCTACTTCCTCCGTTGCTTTTTAGCCGTCGTTGTTATCTTTGAGAAGTTAAACGTACTGAACTTTAATTAAATATATAAAAAATATTATTAATATTTATGATACATAATTAGTATCATTAGATATATATCATTAAATCTATTTTTATAATAAACTTATTTGAAGATATAAATATTGCTAATATTTTGTATAAACCTAGTTAAACTTAAGAAAGTTTGACCGGCATAAATAGCATAGCGACACTTAAAAAAGGGTAGAGGGAGTACATGTCTATAGTATGGCTGAGAAGAGATGGTGTTTGGACTCTAATAGTTCATAGAAATTTTGCAGGAATTATATAGAAATTTTACAGGAATCAGTTTATTTTTCATAGGGGAAACGTAGGAACATAAAAAAAACCCAAGTTCCAAAGGGGGCCTTAACTTGTGTAATTGCACTCTAATAGTTCATATTTTACTTTTAATATCTTAATTTACTTTAAATACACTAATATCACTTAATATATATTAATCATATGTTAATAGCATCAATAAAAAACTTTGTTGTAAATAAAATATATATCCGGGGAGCCAGGCTCCACGCTACCTTAGGGCTCGTTCGTTCAGGGTTATTCCGGGTAGGAACCATTCCTGGTTGAGAGTCGTAGATAAGTGGTCCTGACCAGAACGGACACAGGCCATGGAACGGATCCAGGCCACGGTTGCCAGGAACCGAACAGGCCCTTATGCATGGGTAAGGCTGGATAACAAGCCGGCTCGGCTCGTTTTGGCTCGTTAAGATAACGAGCTAGCTCTGCTCGGCTCGTTATCCTTACGAGTCAGAAAGCCAGCTCGGCTTGGCTCGTTAAAAGCTCGAGCTGGCTCGTTAAGCTCGCGAGCCAGGTATAAAAAATACACAAAATATAATATTTGTATTTATCTAAAGTTTGAGAATAATAATAATATAAAAGAAATGCATCTAGACCAGTTACCAATCAATTTATAGGGTCTAGACCAGTTACCAGTTAATTATAAAGTGAAAGACATGAAATAATATAAAAACTAATATAAAGTTTTGATACTTTTTCATGAAAGCTTGGCTCGTTTAGCTCGCGAGCGGCTCGCGAGCTGGCTCGAGTTGGCTCATTATAGCTAACGAGCTAAAATCTTAGCTCGGCTCGCATAACGAGCCGAGCCGAACCGAGTTGAGCCCGCCACAAGCCAAGCGAGGTAACGAGCTTTCGAGTTTTTCGTCGAGCCTTATGCACAGGGAGCCAGGTTCTGACTCTGATACGGGTAAACAAGGCCCCGTTTAGATCCAAAAATTTCATCTCGTGATTTCTAATTAAACTATGTAATTAGTTATTTTTTTTACCTACATTTAATACTTCATACAAACGACTAAAAATTAATGTGATGAAGAGAAAGTAAAAAACCTTAGAATTTAAATGGCATCTAAACAAGGCCTAAACAGCCCCAAGCGCTTGCGAGGAACCTGCGAGAACTGGGCAGAGGCTGCAAGTCCACTCAGTGAGGAGAAAAAGTACCTTTTTTTATGGTCATGGGTCCCACCGCAAACATGCAACCGAATCTTGCAGCTGAAGAAAAATTTTAAAGCGAGGCATCGTACATACGCGGTGCAGGAAGCGATGCAACGACTGCGGCAAACAAACAAAGTGGGAGGAGAATAAAGCTTCGGCCATATTTAGTTGCCCCAAATTTCAGAATTTGGCACTATGCAAAAAGAAGATTTCCCGTTATATTAAATTTGCGATACATGTATGGAGTATTAAATGTTGACGAAATCAAAAACTAATTGCACAGTTTAATTGTACTTTACAAGACGAACGTTTTAAGCCTAATTAATCAACGATTGGACAATTATTACCAAATAAAAACAATCCGGCAGCGAACTAAACGCGGCCTTCCTTTGAAACTTCCACTCAATTGCTACTGTACATTGCTGCTCTCTCTTTTTCTCTCTCACTGGACACTCTGCTACTGTCTCGTAGCTCCTCTGACGCAGAATTGCTACTGTACACGTACACTGCTGCTCTCCGCGTTCTCGATACGGATGGAGGACACCGGCGCAGCGAGCCGCGGGCGGGCAGCGCAGCCGCCACGGGAGGGGCGGGGAGGGCGATGGGGCGGCGGCAGGCGGCGCGGGACGGGCCGCAGGAGGGCGGCGCAGGGCCGGCCCTGCGGCGGGCCTTCGCCGGCGCTGCCCAATGGTCCCACTTCTCCGGTGAGCCTCTACTCCGTTGAGAGGTCGTGAGTCGCTGGCACTCGTTTTCTTCGTTCGTCGGCGTCATCCGTGCTCATGATGCTATGCTCCCTGATGACACTCATCTGCTCACGCAATCACGAAGGAAAAGAAAAGAAGAGATTGGAGTGGAGTGGATTCTTTTTTTTTCTTCCCGCCGTGAAATCGGCATTTTAGCTGCAGGCTTCCAGCTTTTAACTTTTCCCCAACCTTCGTCTCTCTCCCTCACGAGTCACGCAGACGCAGGCAGCGGCCCGATCCGTTGGGAAAAGGCCGCCGCAGATCTGAGTTGTCTACCGCCGTCTCTCGAAGAGCTCAAATTGATCTGGACCTGTAGCTGCAACTGCAAGTTTCCTCTGGAAAGAGGCCGCGGTGACGGGCAGATCTGAGCTCTCCACGTTATTTTGTTTGTTTCATGCGCCTGATTTGCTGTTTCAGTTTTTGCGTTTTAACCAAACTGGCGTGCTCAAAGTATTTGTGACGACTGGAACCAAGTATCGATATTTACGCACCTCCTAAACTCTGTTCTTCCTCTCAGTCAAAGAACCAAGTAGCGGTGAAGTCGGACCAGTCGGCGTGCCCGCCACAGAGGCAGGACAGGGTTTGCGTCGTCGTTCCCAAGTATGATTTCAAGCACGGCATGAAGACCTTGCTTTGGGCGCTGCTGAACGTGGCCAAGAACGGTGAAAGGCTTTTCATCGTCCATGTCCATCGCGGCAAGCGTATTAGCCCCAAGGGTAAGATTCTTCGTTCTCTGTGCTATTTGTATGATTATTTAATTTTGTGACGAACTCTTATTATAATATCCATGTGCGAGCAGGGGTAGAGGAGAAACTAGGTGATTATGTGTCCATGTGCAACGCAAGCAAGGTGCTCATCCCCAACTCCGTGTGATATGAATAACCTACCCGGCAACACACATTCCACAAGCAGAAGAATATACCATGTATACATATGTCTCTCTAATTCTTAATATACATTTTTTTTCCCTGGTCAATTACTTTTCGACAGGTGATCTGTGACCTAAAAATTATTGAGAATGGTCATGTTGCCAAAGCGCTTGCGGAGTTTATTGACCGTGAAGGTATCACCAAGCTTGTCATGCCAGGAGCAGCAGACAAACGTTACTCAGAGTATGTATCACACACCTGACACCAGATGATTATAGTGTTTTTCTCATGCTGCTTTGGTAATTGAAAGCTGCAAACCACCTTATATATATTAGCACGAGTTACGAACTGCAGTGCTCAAATTTAATTTTTGCTGCAAGTAAAATATGATGAAAAATTAAAAAAAAATGGTTCAACCTAATAATAAGTGGTTCACTATTGTAGGGAAATGAAATCACCGGAGTTCAAGCCGGCGATCAAACTGATGAAGTCAGCACCCTTAACGTGCAATATATGGTTTACTTGTAACGGGCAACTTATATGCACCAGGTAAGGTTAGGCCATGTAGGTTATGACCAGACTAAGATCGATGCATCCTATTGGTAGTATGATCTTAATTTCAGTAAGCGTGGCTCATATATTGGTTGCTATCCACGCTGCTACAAAAATGACTTTTACCCCTTTTATTTACAGAGGTGGCCTAAAAAAAGTTTTGGTCTCCAAATTGTGCATTGATTATAAGAGGCACTTGACTAATTTATGGAGACAGCCAACTCACCGCTGCCTCTAAAAATCAATTAATAGAGGCGGGACTCTTAAGCTGCCCAACTCTGAAAATGGAGCCTCTATTCAAAGGCCCTCAGTAAATTGACCTGAGGCCCAGCCGGTATATATTAATATCCTAGGGTTTTAGCACCATTCACTCAATGCAACGCCCCCGGCCCATCTCCCTTCTCTCAGCAATGCCCCCGTCTCCCTTCTCTCTCACTCAATGCCACCGCCGCTAGTATTCTCTCACTCCTCTCTCACGCCTGACACCCTAAGCACTGCCGCTGCCAGCCACCCCAAGCACCACCGCAGCCCTGACATCCGCCTCGGCCTCATCGTTTCCCCGACGCACGCCGTCGCCCAGTGGAGCGCGCCAAGGTCTAGCATAGCATGAGTATGTTGTTAATTAACACACATGATTAGAAAGAGGAGATGGTGAAAGGAAAGGATGCACGGGTGACGTAAGAGGGAGAGAGGTGATTTAGGTCACTTGAAAGTTTAATCTAGGCTCATCAACATCATAGCCTTTCAGTCCCAAGTAAGTTGGGGTAGGCTAGAGTTGAAACCCACCAAGAGTCCCAAGTCACGGTTCAGGCACTTCAATAGCTGCTTTCCAGGTACTCCTATTCAAACATAGATCTCTAGGTATAACCCAAGCTTTTAAATCTCTTTTTGTTGTCTCCCCCATGTCAATTTAGGTCTTCCTCTACCTCGCCTCATATTATTAGCTTGGCTTAGGACTCCACAATGCACTGGTGCCTCTAGATGTCTTCTTTGGACAAGGCCAAACCACTTCAATCGATGTTGAACAAGCTTTTCTTCAATTTGTGCTACCTCTAGGCAATCACGTATATCATCGTTCCGAACTTGGTCCATTCTTGTGTGACCGTAAATCCATCGCAACATACGTATTTCTACAACACTCAGTTGTTGAACATGTCAAATCTTTGTAGGCCAACATTCTGCTCGACACAACATAGCCGGTCTAATCGCCGTTCTATAGAACTTGCCTTTTAGCTTTTGTGGTATCCTCTTGTCACAGAGATACTGATCCACCCTGCTTTGATTCTATGGCTAACGTCCGCATCAATATCTCCATCCCTCTGTAGGATCGATCCCAGATACCGAAAGGTACCCTTCTTAGGCATTACTTGACCTTCCAAACTATAGAGACACACCTCACACCCAATATGGGGGGGTGACCTTCATATATATAGCCAATATGGCTAGATATACAAGGAATACAATTAAGTATACATAGCAGGTGCTAATCATAACTAATCACACATAGACTTGCCTAATACAAACTCACATCTCCCTCCTGTACAACTCCACCAAAGTCGCATCTCATGTATTCGGTTTTAGTTCTGCTCAATCTAAAACATTTAGACTTAAGGGTCTGCCGCCATAACTCTAGTTTCCTATTTACTCCCGCCTGGTTTTCGTCCACTAACACTACATCATCAGTGAACAACATACATCAAGGGATATCCCCTTGTATGTTCCTGGTAACCTCATCCATTACCAAGGCAAAGAGATACGGGCTTAAGGCTGACCCTTGATGAAGTCCAGTTTAATCTAGGCTCCAGTAAAATAAACCTAAACTTTGCTATCGACACTATAAGAAAAAGGTATTGACGACAGAATATGTTGTCATTAAAAGTGCAGATGTGGTCGTTAAAAATTGTTAATGACCAAAAAAAGATGTTGTCGTTCATGGTCATTAAAGGCTCCATACTTAACGACCACATACAATTTCCAATTATTAACTTCATAACAATGGAATGATTTTATAGGATCAATTCAGGCTAAGATAGGAAATCATAGGGTGTGAATGATTTTGAAAACTGAAAGCAAATTCACACACTTTCCCCTAACACAAAACATTATTGCACTTATTTTTTCAGAGACCACCTTTTCCTTACTAAAACTGGTGTGGATTAAAAATCACAACTCCGATTGACCTCAAACTCTAGCAGAATAAACTAGATAAACTTCTTGAACTAATCCCACAAGAATCACATCAAATGGATGTCTAGATTAGGATCTATTAATTTCCTCAAGGTGATTGTCTCAGAAGGTTATGAAAATTAATTAATCATATTTTTTAGATTAAGAAAAAGAAAAGAAAACTTCAGGAAATCAAACTAGTCACCCTTCAGATCAGTAACATGATGGTCTAGCTGGGTTTTGGATGGATCAAAACATACCCAAACTTGACAAGAGTTTAAATCTAAAATATGATAACTAGACATGCAAATATAAGAAGGAAAGGAGATAGATTACCATACACACTAATCGTGCAAACACTCAACTTTTATTAAGAAGATTGTGTGTACATGATGCCGCTCAAAAAGCATAGAATAATTCTTCACGAAATCATCAAAGCTATAGATGATTCTCTCCTTATATATATATATATATATATATATATATATATATATATATATATATATATATATATATATATATATATAGGAAAAGAAAAACAACCGTTTTTTCTGGAAAGAACCAAGGGCGGATCCAGTCTATTTTTGTGCTCTCACTTGATAGCAATGAATTTTAAAATCTGAGGCTAAGGTGTTGTTGATCTAAGGGAAAATGAGACAAGTAATCATGCCGTAGAACACTAGTGTTGGTGACCGAAGTGAACACAGCTCTAATCGCAACACACAAGGACAAGAAGCGCGGTTTTTGTTATCTATTGCTTCCTGTCTTATCAGTTACGGTGCTCCTTTATTTATAGGAGAGTTGAGGGGCAGTTTGGCAAATTACACAATGCCCTTGCTACAGCAACTATATTCCCCGAATATCCAAAGGTACAAATGGTATTTGCCTTTGCAACAAGGTTATAGTAAAGAATTTTGCTTGCGGCGTGATGAACTCCTAACACCTCCTGCTTGGCCATGCTTCGATCATCTTTGTGTGTCTTCGCTGGCGTCCCGCGCGTTAGGGGCGGCATCGCCCGCCTTTTACTAGGAGCGCCCAACTCTTCAAATTCTTCCCAATTGCTTGCTGCTTCCTACCCAAATCCTATTCCAGATACTCGGGTTCATAACAAAAAAAAACTAAGAAAGAAATAAGATGATTTAATTTACCTGGGCGTCGGTGCCTGGACGCGTGCCGCACGCTAAGAGCCTGCAAAGCCGGGCCGGATATTATCTGTCCAACAACTGCTCGTCTACTGCGCGCCCTAACTGATAAGTAACCAACATAGTAACAGTATACATACTAATTATCATTAATTTGTTTATTAATGATCAAGATTAGAGAAGGTAGATGAGCTCGGCTAATTTTGTCGGATGAGCTTGTCCAGCATCTGAGGAAAATATTCCTCTAGTTGGATGACTCTGTTCAGAATGTTTTGAAACCAAACACCACTAAAAGTTAGATTGCCCCGTCATTGACCGCCACATTGTATGAATCAAACTGTTCAATGTTTTAGTGAGCGTCCAAGTCCTTGTGTTTATAACTGATACGTAGTTTTCATCTATTTTCTCGATTTTTTTTTGAGTTCCACTATCTACAGAGTACAATATTAGGTGTGTGCTTTGTGGAGGACTCGCAAGTCACATAATGGCAACATCTCGTTCTTTTTTTTTTTGAAAGATCAACATCTCGTTCTACGATAGTCGTGTTCAAATCTCTGCAAAAAGAATTAATGTCAGTGAAGTGCATCGCAAAAAGAAAAAAAAATTAAAAGCTAATGCCACCTAGCTATGAACACCGCAGGAAAGCAAATGCAACTGTTCCTGCCATACAACCACCACCCGTGGATTCTCATGCTCTTAAAATGGTAAGTTATCTCCAGTATTCGATTGGGATTGCAAATCCTGAACCTCAACCAACCAGAATCATATACTACTTGAATGCTTTCTCCAGGAGCCAGTAGCAGCTGTTACTGAAGCCGGAGGCCTGTACGAGAAGAATGATCAACAAAATGCAAAGACATTGCCTATTGAAACAGTGAACACTGAGTTCTCCGAAGATGAAATTGAAAAATCAATCAATTGCCTGGATAACAGACTTATCGGTAAGGGTGGATCAGGAAACGTCTACAAAGGTCGCCTACGCAACACAGATGTAGCTATAAAGAAGCTGCATCGGGAGAGCATGCAAGAGGAGTCTGACTTCAGCCGAAAGGTGATGCAAATCCGGCGTACCATCCTCAGCTCATTCCTTATAATCACCATGTTGGCAAATAAATCATGGCTGACACTACGTACGTGTGTGAAACCATTGCAGGTTGCTGTCCTTGGTCGTGTGCGGCATCCAAACCTTGTTACACTGATTGGCGTGTGCAGGGAGGTATTCGGCCTGGTGTACGAGTTCCTCCCCAACGGCAGCCTCCAGGACCGGCTCGAGTGCAGAAACAGAATGGCACAACTGAAATGGCAGGTGCGCACCAAGATCATGCGCGAGGTTTGCACGGTTCTGACTTTCCTCCACTCGAACAAACCGCAGCCGGTAGTGCACGGAAACCTGAAGCCCTCCAATGTCCTCCTGGACTCCAACTTGGCGTGCAAGGTGGAGGCCTTCGGCATATCCCAATCCAACGGCATCGGCAAGCCCACCACGCAAGATGACGTGCATTCGTTTGGAATCATCGTCCTGCAGCTGCTGACGGGGTTGCCCCCGGAGGACGTCGCCAAGGTGGTCGAGGACGCGATGGAAAAAGAGGAGTTGCACACCGTCCTCGATCCCACTGCAGGGAACTGGCCGATCGCGCTGGCCAAACAGCTAGCGGACGTCGGCCTACGGTGCGTCAAGATGAGCCGGGAGGAGCGCCCTGACCTCGTGGGGGACGTGTGGAAGGAGTTGGAGTCTCATAAGAATAATGCCGGTATCCTTACCAGCGGGCAGGATGACGACGGCCCGCCAAACTACTTCATATGCCCTATCACTAGGGATGTAATGGAGAACCCTCACTTCGCCGCCGATGGGCACACGTACGAGCTCGAGGCGATCCAGCAGTGGATCCACGGTGACCACGGCATGTCGTCCGACAGGAGCGTCAGGTCCCCGATGACGAACCTGAAGCTCGAGCACTTCGAGTTGACCCCGAATTTGGCACTCAGCTCGGAGATCAGGGAGTGGAAAGAGAAGCTGCAGCAGAAGCAGGTGCGTAGCTTGGTCTGTGACCCACATCCTGTTCCTGTCCAAAATAGCGATGTGCACACAATTATTATTACTCCAGAAGAAGAAGAAGCCCAGTCACAACTACCCATAGGCCTGCATCCCCAAGTATCAAGCAGCCCGCCCACCACCGTGATCCCGTCGTTGACCGACGACGCGGGCTCCAGCTCACTCACACAATCCCCTAACACGGCACTTCCCCCAGCGTCCAGCAGCCCGCCCACAACCCTGATCCCGTCTACCGCCGATGCCCGCTCCGGCCGCTCGACAGCACCCGCACCTCTCAATACTTCTGCTGCAGCTCGCTCGCACAGGCTCAATCCACTGCCAGCAAACCCTAGCGCAGCAGCGCCACCATCACCACGGCCGGTCAGCCCCTCCTCCACTGACTTCTTGCCTCCACCCACTGGAATCCGTCGACGCCGCGTCAATGGCCGTCTGCCGTCGTCGTCAATGGAGCCAGACGTGCCAGCTGGACCAGGAGAGACTAGCAGAATCCGAGGGAAATTCAAACATGAGTAAACCCAATTAAGGTCCATCGATATCGGTTCACGGAAGATACGGCTGTTAAGTCATTTTCACATATACCTCTATTACTCTGCTTGCGGAAGAAACTGTGTTTTACGTAGAGTGTGGTGTTAAGAAAAAAAAAACAAAAAAACAAAAGCAAAACAGAAAAAAAAAAACTAGTTTGCTATTTCTTTTGTTCAAGACATATATATTGTATGTATTTGGTGTACCTCTATCAAAACATCTATTACTATCTGGAAATTTCAGACAATGGAGATCTTCGCCAGATATAGATAGAGGTTTAGCATAAGCTTATGATGAATTTCTTTTGCTTCATCTCAGCCGTTTTGTTCGGCTGATGGGTGTGAATGCTATGTGGGCGATAGAGTCTACCCCATAGTAAAACTTTGTAATAATATACGGACAAACATCTCACGATGCTGAGACCAGGATATTTTTCCTTTGCTCGATGAAATAAACTTTCCTTTATATAAAACATATTTTTTTTGTAGGACATACCATCTGGTTATTATCTTCCTTTACTGTTCATCTCACAGAAGTCCATATTTTATGGATGCCAATTATTTTAGTCTAGCTCGGTGTTTTCTTCCCTAGGCGAGTTGTGGTAGCCGTTGAAGTGTGCCTCGTAGGTGCCATTTGGGCTCAGGGTGACTTATTTCATGAGCTGAGTTGTGGTTAGTTTTCATGTCTGAGTTCCTTGGCCAAGGCCAAGCGTGAGTAGTGTTGGTATGTTATATGGAGGTTTGTCGTGGGTTTTTTTATAACATTGTCGTGGTTATTTAGCTTGGCGTGTGGTAAGTAGTAAGTTAGGTCTGTTCTTGCCCTAGAGTTGTTGATGACACATCATGCAACATTTAGTTGTAAGAATTTTTTTTTTGGTCTAGCATTTTATTTTTCTAAAAGTTGGACTATGCATTTTTTTCTTCTTCTAGTAATATTTGCGGAAAATCTTTTGCCGTCATCTCAATAACAAAAGGGGTGCCAATTATCGTATCTTGTGCAATAACTTTAGGTGGCGTTTGGATATCCAGCAGAATAAAATAGTATGGGATAGAAAGGAGCGGGTTATTATGGATTGGGAAACGTGACTTGCAGCCCAATCCATTGTTCGGCAACAGTTGGGTTCGAGTTTGGATTTTACGTGGTATCCGCTTGCTTATTACAGAAATAAACTGAGCACTCTGCCATTCTTTTCCCTTTTCACGCAAACAACAGCACCTTTTCTACATGACCTTATGCATCCATCAAAGCTAGGCTTATTCGGCTGTTGCATCTCTGTTCTCCACGGTCGGAGCAGGATGCAAGGATCTTCACCGAATCCCTCAAGGGCAGCGCATGGTAGGCGTGGCCGCGTGGGGGTTTCCGCCCACGCAGGGCTAGTATATCGCTGCTTTATCTTCGCAGACTCCCCACGGGCTCCTCGCTAGGTACTAGATCGTCTGGTGCCCTGTGCTTATTGGCTTGTTTCCAACGTTTATTGGAGCGAAGATGCATGTGTCTTGGCCCTTGCCAAAAGGAAATTGGGCTCCAGACTAGAGGTGTTTGTTTCCTGGATATGGGCCATGCTCGCGGGCTTCACTGCATGCGCTTGTGTTTGGTAAGATGGACCGTGGGCTCTCCTAAAAAAAAAAAAGATGGACCGTGGGCCGCACACTTCCTTAATAAAGCAGTGAAGATACTGCATCCGGAGAGGTGGAGACCACTGCATGTCTGCAAAGAGTATATTGGTCTTGATTTATTCAGCCTGTTCGCTCGTTGGTTTCAGTTAGGGCTTATTAGTCAGCCAACAGTGTTTTCCACTTACAACAAATCAGCATCAGCCGGACTTATCAGCCTAGAAACCAACCAGCGAACATGCTTGTAAGTAGCTTTATTAAGAGTCAAAATAAAGCAATTGGACCGGAAAATTAACGCCCTGTTTGGCTGATTTGTTGTGAGAGAAAAATACTATTCGTTGGCTGAAAAAGTACGGCTTATAAGCCAAGCGAACATGACGTAAGAACTTTGCTAAACATGAATATGCATGTTGGATTTGAAACCTTTGTTTGAATCATCTAGTTTGCTTGTGCTTTGGAGTTTACCTTGAACCTAATAAATTCCGATAAGGCTAGCGTCCGGACGCTCGCGCTTGCTGTGCCTACCCACGCCCCTGCGTAGGCATGTTGTTGCGCCCGCCCACACTCTTGTGGTTGCTTCACGTGGGGCTCACGTCGCTCCGTTTCTCATGCTTGCCGCTCGCGCCCCCTCCACACCCACGCGCATGCAAGCGGGCCCAATAGCTTTTTTTAGGTCAACACCGGGGGAGCAAGGTCTCCCCACCTGAATTTTTATTCCACAGATACCGAGCAAAGCCAGGGGTTGGAAGGGCATGGTGCCAATCCAATTACAAAGAGTTGAGAGAGAGGATGAGGGGTGGATTACATATTCAAGATCGAGCTCCAACAAATTGCTAGCACAACATGCTTCCTTGGTAGGTGACAGCTCCAGAGCCTGACCGCCTCTCTGTAGGCGGCTATGAGCCGGTTTTGATCAGGTGCCAAGCTCCGGAACACGACGTCGTGTCGGTGTTTCCAAAGCTCCCAACAACATAGGAGGATCAGGGAGCTCACCGCTGAAGTTAGGACATGAGGTGGGGGTGTGGACTTCCAGAGTTCAGTGACCGGCGCAATCGAACCTGGTTGCCAAGCGGATGCGGCAGATGGGTCCCACTGCAACATGTGCAACACCAGATCTACTTTTGCAACATCTATATATACGAAACGCTTGCAACATACGTCCGAACCAGTTGAAACACTTGCAACATACGTCTGAAACTCCAGGAAAACACGTGTGTAGCCATTGCAAAAGCATATACAACATCCAAATGAAACACTTGCAATATATGTGTGAAACATATGCAACATACTCCTTCCATCTCAAGATAGAAGGCATGATTTGACTTGGTGCAGTCTTCAAGATCATACTTAAGCTGTTAATTTATACGGTTATATATAATTTATGGCAACAACAAAAGTATCGTTAGAAAGCATTTGTAAACACAAATTAACTATTGTACTATAAAAAATTTATATTATTAGGCTAATTATTGGTCAAAGATAATAGTTTAATTTTTGAAATATGTGCATGTCTTATATCCTGATGAAACGGAGGGAGTATATGTGAAACACATGCAACACTCAGATAAAACACACTTGCAACATACGTCCGAAAACACAGATGAAACATTGGGAACAGACCTTTACAACATACGTGTACAACTATTGCAACAAATGCAACATCCAGATTTACTTTTGCAACATCCATATGAAACAATTGCAATATACCTATTAAGCATCTGAAACACTTGACATATAGGCTTGGAACATGCATTTTTCGCCCTTCTTCCATTCGACGTAGAGGTTTGAAGGTGGTGATGAGGGGAAGGGGGTCGGGCTGGACATGGGCAGAGCAGCGATGGGGAGGGAGGAGCCATGTGAGATGGAGTCGGGGCGGCGGCATCGCATGGGTTGCGCGCGGTGAGAGGCGCTTCAGTGGTGGCGTGGCGTGCGAGGTGGGGTTTTTTTAGACAGCGCGTCCGGATGGATGGACGTCGTCATCCTATCACCATTGAATAAATTCTATTCGACTTATCTGCTGGGGTCGTCCGAAGAACAATTCTTGAGTCAACATAATACGAGGAAACTTACTATAATTTTGGTAAAAGTTAAAAGTAGATTTAACTTATTCACACAGAATGTATGGACTCTAACCAACCAATAAGCTGAATAATTAGTGTCAATCAAGTATTGTTGCCCCTAACTAACAAAATTGTTGTGTGCTAATAAGGTAGTGAGGATTTACAGTAGTAATTAAAGTGAGAACCATCGAAAGTCGCGGTGGCCCACTAGTATATGAGAGGGTACCAGCGATTAACCGCCAAATATGCAAAAAAAAAGAGGATGGAAACTGTATTGGGTCGCCAAATATGCAAAAAAAAAAAAAAAATGAAAACTGTATTGGGTCTAATGGAGCACAACCTTTTGCTTTTGTTGGCCCAGCAAAGGGGTGCTTGGTTCAGCCAGGAGCTCCAAAATATAGTCTCATTTAGTCTAATTTAGTCAGTTTTTATCCAAACACTATGACTAAATGAGACTAAAAGGGCTTTAGTCATCTCTACCAACTCTAGAGTGACTAAATGGGACTAAATCATTTAGGAGAGACTAAAGTTTAGCAACCCAAACCAAACACCCCCTAAATAATCCTATGACCCGGTTCGCACGGTTGTCCTATCAACTTGTCATCGTGTCGTGGAAAAAGTTCAATCTACCTCCATTGCGGTCGTTTGATTTTGTTTTTTCTTCCTAAATTACAAAATCAGTTTTTTGACCATCTCAAATTTTAAAACCATTTATTTTTACATCATGGATGATTTTGATCGCGATTTTGCTGATATGCCGCCACATCAAAAATAGGTAAACCAGGCTAAGTTAAAATTTTAGCGAGGTAAATCAGACTACAAATATTTTTAAAAACCTAAACAAAATATATAAATATTTTTTAAAAAATTAACAAAATATTTTACATGAAAAAATAATGCAATTTAAAATCCCAAAATCTGGCTAAACCTTAGAAAATTTGTTTTACCTCAAAAAATTATGAAACTAGTCCATTTGTTTTTCCTAAAATCATGCTCTATCTTATGGTGCCTAGCCCGAAATCGTTTGATTTTTTTATGAACTCATTTTAGTGCTTATTTGCTATCAGTGGCTATCGTTATCTATTACAATTAGTCAATGTTAATCGTTCGGACCATGTAGCAGAAGTTACAAGAGTTGTGGTTTTGCAACACCCAAAGAAACTACTCAACAACTTTTTTCTATTGTCCTGTAGCACACTTTGTTTGGAGGGTGTTTGAAATTGCTTTTGGTTTATGCCCACCAACAAGTCCTGCTATTTTTTTTGTGTCCTTGGCTTCAACAAGTATATCATAATTCATAACTTGCGTTCTCAAG